ATTTCCAGCTTCACAGCCCCTTGTAATATTTTCCAAATGCTCTCCACCTTGTTAAGGAAAATGAAAGCTTTAACTTAGTCCAAAGGTATCTCAAGGTCTTTTGGTTTCAACTGAGTCTTATTCACTTTGCAATTCTGTTTTATACTCTGCCAGCCCGCATGTAATAAAAATCAGGGAGCAATTTCAGTTTTAAATTTCATTTGTCACATGTGATTCCATTTACCGACTAAATCCCAAACCTCTCTGAGTTCCTTTTGTTCTCTACAGGTTGTTTATTACTCCCCATAGTTTTATACAATCACAGATTTTTAATAAGTTACACATTTCCATCTTTCCTAAGAATGCTAACAGAGAAGTCAGGGGTTTACTGAATATCCTTCCTAATTGCTACAATCTCTACCATATCAACAGACTTACATTAATCTGAAGAAAAATTATAATAAATAAATCCTATCACACAAAGACTTGCCATGTCTACCAGTGTAGACATAGATCCTACTCTAAAAGCCTTTTCTGGATGCCTGGTAGTTGGCTTCTACTTTTGCTCCTCTCCCCTCTCTCTGTGGCCCTGCTCCCACAGGGAAATGACTGACCTGGCCTAAGATATTCCAAGTTAACGCCTGGCCATACTGCTGGGCTGCTTATGCCTTAGGCCAGCTCTTCTCTAATAGTTTTTAAACTAATTCCAAAAGGTCTTGCAGATAGTGCATGTGTCCTGCTTTTCTATTTCTGATCACAATTCATACAGTCAGAGACAGGTAATCCCATTATCTGATTTGATGATGTCAGTTTTGTTTCACTGTTAACGAATCCCTGCTGCCATTTCAGGACATAATCCTGATTTACTGTAGTATTTGTTATTGCTTTAACAGAATCTGGTTGGATTAAGAATAAAGACTAAGGCATTCACATAGATAAACTGAACATCCATAGTTATAAATGCTGAAATTAAATAAACAGACTGAAATACCTAAAAGTTTTGGAGGGGACATAAAGCTTCATACTGCAGGACCTAAATCAACTCTAACGAAAGGGTTGAAATTCTCCTCCTGGCCAGATGACAACATAAATGTCTATTGTGGTATGGTTTGCCTCCTCTTCAGCATCTGGTGCTGGTCACTTCTGGAGATAAGCTACTGGAAGAGATGGATTGCGTGATATGGAACAGGAACAACTGTGGCCCATCATGGGTAAAATTCAGACAGGCCATGGCTGCAAAAAATCCTGTTTGGATTCATTTTTGCAGTTACTGATGCAAGCAAATGACTGAGGGCCTCAGCATACAGTCATCAGTTTGATTTCTTGACAGAAAAGCAGTCAGGCTAAGTTTTTCCCGAGCACTCAAAAATGATACAAAAGGAGGTCATAACAAAAGAAGTACATGCTGCAGCAACGTCTCAATTGTGACATGCTTCACCACCCAACAGTGCTACCTCATGCGACATCATGAGAAACAGACACCATGGCCCAGAGTCTCATTTCCTCTACAGAAAGGCCACAGAGAGCTGTAAATCACATGCATGTAAATATATGTATCCTTTCACTGCCAAATTTAAGGTACAGCCAATCTAATATGGATAGAAAAACTTGTATGCTAAAAACAGACATGCCAGGATTAAGAAATTGGAATAATTTATGTTGAAATTCTCAAGGGTCACCCTTCCTTCTTTCCAGGTATTGTAAAAATGTCTTTTGTACTTCATCTGTTTTAACTGAAGCTTGGCTAAGTGAATACTGTGCTTTTTGATGGAGATTATTTTGATAGCACAGGTATTCTTTAGTCTTTGCTCCAAAGTTCTTAGTCCTGTAAGGAAGCATCTTTCCCATACAGCTTCGGCTGCAGATCCTTCTTTATAAACAGATCTTTCCTTAAAATAACTACCACGAAGGAGGTAAATTCTAAACAAAGCAATAATTACTGCATTATCTGGTCTTATGACTCAAACTCAACCTTAGATACAGTGTGCTTTGTTGATAACAAATGATTGGAGGATTTTAGGTTGCAGTATCTCATTGCAAACACACTTTTTTTGCAATGAAGATAGTGGAGGTAAGATATATCGCACTTTCAATTAGCAGCTTAGAAGCCAGTGATCTATCTTAGGCAGCTATTTTAGGAGGGAACAAAGCACCCCCAACAGTGAAGTGCTCTCTCCCCATCTGTTAATGACAGGCCTAGACAACCAATTTAGAAGGCATGCCCAGCTTTTAGAAAACTAAAGCTAGGAAAACGAATCCCTTCCTTAGGTTTTGGATGTCAGGAATCAGATGAACAACTAGGCTAGGACAGATGTCTTGTTTTGTTTTGCTTTATGGGAAAGACCCGAATAAATCCTTAAATTACATGGCTGTAAATTTCTTAATTTTATGAACAAAAATTGGTTTTATCCTGGCAGATCTGGATGAGACAAAAGTTTACTGTGCCCAGGGCAAAACTGTCACCAAATTGTGCTGCTTCCTCAACTTCCTCAACTGAGAATTTTACGACAACAGTGATTTCATTATAAAACCCAAAATTCTCCATCTTTTCCCCCAGGGAGGACCATTCAAGTTTTTATCGCAGTATTCCTAATTGACAGCCTATCACTTCATGATCATTAACACCTTTGACCAGTCTACTCTGGACACACTACTACTGTCTGTTCCAAGCTATGGTTAATCACAACAGTCTCTAGGTTGATACCTACACTGATTCTCCATGAAAATTAAGGCATTCTATACGTCTTTTTTTTTACCTTCTAAGTTCCTGTTTGAGATACCTTACAGAAAACTGGAAAGAATTAAAACTGATGCAAGCAAGAGCTGAGGTGTGACACTCAACAATGGGATGGTCTGTACCCGCAAAATGCATCCTCCATTCCTCACTGTCAGCAGTGCCTGATGACTAAGCCAGAGCAATAGTTTTTTTATACCAAAGCCTAAAGTCAGCTCTCTGCAGCCTGAGTAATTGCCATCAGTGGATCAGTATCTGTAAAGCTGTACTGCTGTCATTAACCACTGCAGTGTGGAGAACAATGTCCTAACCCAGCCTGCACAACATGTGTCAGCAGGATCATTCTCCGCTCCATGTGACCTGTGATTTTGTTACTGCACAGAAGCTCACTTCTGAAGAGTGGAGAGGATGAGGAAGGACATGGCACAATACCCACCTGTCTTCTGTACTCCCAAGTGGGGTCATACACCTTCCATCCATTTTCTGGGAAAACTTCTTTGTATTCAAATGCAAAAAGTGGCTGAAAGAAAGAAAATTTACCATTAAGAGCCCACTCAGAGCCCATTTCCAGGATGTTTGATATCTCAAATAGTAACTCATGACTGGTCCTTCTTTTCTCCCACTGCCCTACTTTTCTTTTAGGGCTTTGTGAAAAAGATTAACATGCTCGCTGTAGCAGGTAATTAGTACAACAATGTAATTCCTTCCCTGATCTTGCTTGTCTGTTACCTAGTACTTCATGTAAAAAAGGAACTTATTATTAAAGAGAGAAACAAAAGACTACTTGGGCAAGAACTCTCTTACATATTAAGAACTAGATCATTTCAACCAGTATTTGAAGCAACAATTGCAGAGTCATAACAGGACAGAGCAGACGAACTGCATTCCAGATTTGGGGCAATGCAGTCACCATTAGCTGTAAACCTCTGACGGATGTCACTGTGCTTTGAATATTTTCCCTCTGTTACGAGGATGTATCAGTAAGACACTCTCCATGCATGAAGAAATCCAGCCCCACAGCAGCACACTTTTCCTGCTTTCTATATGATCTAAACTCCTGCAGAATTAATTCTAAAACAGATTTAAAAACCAGCATTTCTCCTCCTCCAACAAAATGCACCCAATGCGAACACTGTACCAAGTAGATGGGACTGAACAAAACAGCTTACTGCCACTATGTGTCTTTTGGCAAAATCTGAAAAGAAAATACTTACCAGATTATTTGAAACTGGGAAAGCATATTTCATTAGGTTCTCAAATATGGATCGTCTAGTTCTCCCTTCAGGCTTATGAGCAAACCGCAAGTTTCGAATATCCTAGGGAAAAAAAAAAAATGGAAAATCAAGAGGAAAATCAAATTGCAGATTTCCGAACCACTTCAAAATCCAAAGAAAATCCAAAAGCCAGCATTCAAAATAGGGTCACATCATGATGCTCTTTCTAGCACTGATTTAATATTGTACTTTGAACACTGTTCTATTGCAACTCTGAGCTTGGTTCAGTGGTTGTCTGCAGCCTCCAGGCAAAGCCTGCCACAACTGCAGAGGAGCAGAGGGAACGCACGGGTGCGCTTGCTCGCAGCATCTTGCCTTCACGTGAAATGCTCTACCTGCTGAAAGTCCAGGGGAGAGCCCCGCTCAGGGACAAGCTATTTCTGATCGGCAGGACTTTGTGAGAAGGACCTCCTAGCTCGTACTGGGCTCTCACGCTGAACTGTGCCAGAAGACAGCTGGAAGGGACTGCCTCACAAAGCACTCCACAGAGCTACTGCACATGTGGAGCCCAAGTCCAGCCAGTCTGGTGCAAAGCAACCAGTGCCATCTCCCTTTAAAGCTTCCATCCTACAGAGCACTCAAGAAGATGTCTTGAAACTGAGAACTCCTCCACTTTACACAGTTTCCACAAAGAGTGGTAACCCTGGACCTCCTTTCTGTACTCATGTACAAAATCAAATTTGGAAACTAAATAAAGCATCTCTAAGATGCCAAGAGTTGCCAGCCAAGCCTACAACTCAAACACTTGTAGTAAACAGTTTAAAAGCCACCAGCAGAAAATGAGCTATCAAGTTCAAGCATATGAAGATGGCACAACAAGTCAGAGTGAGATAAACAGCTAGGAAGACTTAGCTGTCTCACAAGACTGAGATTAGGTAATTGGTCTCAGACAGAGAACATTTCAGGATGCATAAGCTGTATCTGTGCTACTCTGTTATCACACTAAACTGCTCTGCATCCTGGGCCAAGCAGGCTGGCATATATATATATATATATATATGCACTGAATATTATCGTATAGCTTGTGTCTGGGTTTCCCACCCAGGGAAACAACATAGTTCACTCCAAACCTGACCATGTGTACAAATTTGCATACAGGCAAAACGGTTGAGGACTAGGAATCCAGATCAAAACAGTGAACGAATGAGCTTACCAGCACAAGCACTCCTATGTTAGCCAGGGAGGATCATGACTGCAATAGGAGGAGGGAGCAGCTGCATGATTTGGTATAGATTATTATCAACTGCTCTTGACTCAGCATACCCACAGCTTGAGAGTCTGCTTAGCTTCCTGGTGCCTCAAAATCACAGCAGTGACTGGAGCAGTTTGGGACTCGTTTTCATTCCTCCATCTGCCCTTATTCAGGAAGTGGCATCCTTTGAGCCTTGAGGGGGCTCTGACAACAGCTCTAAGCAGCCCAAGACCTACAAGGTTCAGAATCCAGCTCTCCCCACATGGCCACCGAGGGAAGCAGAGGGGCCATGCCCTGGTGAACAGCAGAAGTATGAATTTAGGACTGGAGACAGTGGCTTTACCTACTCTGTGGGTCTATAGTAAGTAGACACAAGGAGGTGAATTGTTAATTTTTATTGAAGTTTGCATTTCCAATGATTCCAAGGGCTCTTGAGAGGTGCATGTGAATTATGTACTGCCTTGAAAGAAATGAAACAACAGCCTCGAGGAGGACTGAAGGTTACTTGGCAGTCCCTCACCACAAAGCACAGCAGCAGGTAGACACAAGCTCACGATTTAGGGAGAAACATGCCCCTTTCTTGCTCTTGAAATGCAAGGGAGTGAAAGGTACCCATCCTGTACTCCACAATGACTGGAGGCTTCCTGGGATAGGCTGGTGGGCAACCCTGAGAACTGCATTGGTGGGATGCAAGCCTAGGTTTCCACTATGAAGACAAGACATTACTTAGTACAAAGCCTGAATAAAGGTTTGGATCTCATCTTGAGTCAGTGGAGCTGGAGAATCCTGAAATTCACTTTTAAAATCAGATGTTTTTTGAAGTGCGTGAAGTCACACTGACTAAAATGTTTTGCAGAACTTCCTACAGAGAAAACATTTTAACAGATATGTTCCCCTTCCCCTGTTGTAAAATACAGATAAAAGTTTACCTTGCATACGATCTCCAGCCCGTATGAATTCTCACCTCGACTGGAAGCACCTCCAATTTTCTCCACTCTGTTGATTACACCTAAAGATGCATCTAGGACAAAAGGAGGGTCCTGTAGACAGTTGAAATTTGTGAGTTTAAAAAGGGGAGGGGGAAAAAAATCCCCAGCTCCTGCTCCCTCATGCCTATATTCCCAAACATATAGCTATTATTCACACAGAATTACTCTCAAAGAACACCTAGGTCTAAAGAGTGAGTAGCCAACAAAAGCAGATGATGGTTTCAAAAGCTTACCCGTTCCATGCTTTTAAAATACAGTCTATAATTGGTAACAGTAAGGGTTCCTCTGATTGCTCCAGTAAAGGGGCAGATGTAAGTAACATCCTTAGCTTAAAAAAAGAAAAGAAAAAAAATTTGTTAATTTCATGATTAATTTATGGGAGTAAAATTATAATAGTAACAATATTTGGGGACTCTGCTTTTCAGATCATGAAATGAAAACAAGCTTAACCTGTGGTTCTAGCCTAGAGGTAACATGCAAATTTTGGTTTTGTGGAGAAGGTAAGAGGTTGGGTATAAACTGAACTCCAGCAAGTACCATGACCTAGAATCCTATATTTGCCCAGAACTGCCACTCCTGTAAAAAAAACAGTATTCGGCTGCAAATGGTTTACTGTTACTGAGCAATGCCTTGCCAGTAGCTGAGAACACCATGCATGAAAAGAGATGATTCCTGCCTAGATGCATACATTTGAAGCTGTCAACAACCTGCATAAAAGCTAAGGATCAACAGCAAGCTGGTTTGTGCCACCAAGGACAGGAGAAGGCAGTTCTCCTACATGTGGCTTTTAGGATGCTTGGGTCCTTCTGCACACCCTTGCATGCCGAGTCAGCCCTGGGATGAAGGCACTCATGCTAAAAGCCAGCAGAGCTACAGCGATTTCCAGCAACCAGGAATCTGTATAGCACCCAACTGCCAGTGGTTTTAAGTCTGAAGTCAGTGATCAAGTTACTCTGCAACAATTCAATTATTTTTGAGCCTGAGTGACGGTGACTTAAAACAGTCCCCTTCTTAAAAACGTTTCTCACTTGTTCCAGCAAAAGGTAAGAGGTGCTGCTGGTTTTCCACAGCAAACACCTCCCCTAACTGCCCTTCTGTTTTACATCAATTAAAAACGCCAACGTTTAAGTCACTCCTTCCCCCCCGCCCCCCCCAGCAGCGACCCAGTCTTCTACCACTGAAGTGGTGGGCTGTCTGTGCCATGGCAATGTTTTACACTATCACCGTCAAGTAATAACACCTCTCAAACACACAGATATCCTTTCAGAAGGAGACCCACTGACCAGAGCTGTCAGATCCATGAAAGAAACCCCTGGACCATCTCAATAACCTCAAGCCTCCAAACTCTATGAGATCACTTTTGCGAGGGCTATGCGAAGTCAGGAGGACAGCTTGCCTTCCAGCCAGGTGACAGCCACCACGCACAAGAGGCATGAGGCTACTGGGGTGTCAGGATTGGGACCTGAACTTCCTCTACTTTTATCTCATGAGATTTAGCCTGGAGGGAGGAAGAGAGACTGCCTTACTCCAGGGCACTGGCAACTGATGTTACTAAATCATCCTCACGTCAGCTCTGCCTCTGCATAGTCTCCACTGACTCTCGGGATTTGGATATGGAAAAGGATCCCTAAAAAATCAAGAGTGACTAATTCAGAGCAAAATACGTAGCACAGAATTTTTGGTTAAAAATAAAATATATATATACACACACTAGCAATTTCATTATTTATTTATTTTCATTTACATGCATTTGTTGGAAGGACAATTAAACACAAAATGCTTCTAGCCACTTCTAATTAAACCAAGTGTTTCATTATTGTCCAATTATTAATCACTACTTTTCAATGACTAATTTGACAGAGGTTGGAAAGACTCATGAAGCATAATAAGGGTGAGGGCAGCCTGCCTGGTTTTTCCACTAGAATTCCCATTATTCAAAATGTAATTTCAAAATGTTTAAAAAAAAAAAAACCAAAATCTACTAATAAGAGAAGTATGCATTTACATCTGAAGAGAAACAGGATTTCTGGGTAAAGAGGAAAGGTGCTAGAAATATGTTTTCCAGGTAAGGAATCCCTGGCACGATCTCAAACACTGACCTTTCCAGCTTGTAAGCCACATCACCTTTCACATTTACATTTTATTAGCTTAGTTTCCTAAGGAAACAATTGTACTTAATTGCACCGCACATGTACACATTGCTATGCACATGGCTTGTCTGACCTCAACCCTACCACAGTTGTATGATTTCAGCAGTCTCCATCTGATAAACAGGGATCTCCAAGGCATTAAGATCCTTCACTGATTGTGAGAACAGATGCCAACTATGAGGGAGGTTGTACTAGTGCTACTACCAAGGGAAAGTCTAGTAAGCTCAACCTTTGGTAGATATAAGAGAATCAATATGGGAGAAAGATACTTGAACCAGGATTTATGAATTCCCTCACTTATGGAATTCCTGTCTTTTACAGGGCCAATCTTACCCCAGATTATTGGGTTGGCTGAAATAATTTTTCTTTCCCTCCCTGTAAAATACAAAGAAAATTACATTTGCCTTTCTTGACACTTTCAATAGGAAATAATTATTGCTGATGAATAATAAAGATTTCTTTTTTGCTACCTTTAACTTCTTGCTGGACCAGTCAGCTGCTGTCTGGCCTACTCTGAAAGCCACCCACTCTTACAGACTTAGGTGGCTCATCACATCATTTGCCAACAGACAAAATACTGATAACTCTGTTCTCTTAAACCACTCCCCAAGAACCCTTCAAAATACAGTCCTGCTGTCAGAGCTAACTGTGCCTGTGGAGTGAGGTATGTCAGTCTGCAGTGCATGGCTGGAGTACGAGCTTAGAGTCCTTAGGAAAGGAGTAGAGAAAAGGACTGAGCGTTGAGGTGGGATTTTTTGCTTGGTTTTAGTTTTGTTTTGTTGTTGGGTGGGGTTTTTTGGTAGGGTATTGAATTTTCTTTAGGACTGAAGTTGCTTTCTTCCATATAATTTTAAGAGGAAGGCAACATGTTAAACTAGCAAATGCAAAATCTTTCACAGAAAATTAACTAAGAGACTTACTCAAGCTTTCAGACTACCGTGCATCAGCAAACCTGATGCATGTCAGAAAGTCTGGATTAAAAAAAAAAAAAAAAAAGAAAAAAGACCCATCCTCATACCACAGCAAGCTCTCTGCAACAGCACTCTGTCCTCTCCTGCAGTTTGTCATAGAAATTCAATGCACAATTGTGCTGTGTAAACCTGCAAAGTTACCCTGTGGCAAGCACAACTTGAAACGGTTGATCCATGTCCTCTCAGGAGGCAGCAAATGCAAAGCTGTGCAACCTGTCTCAACACTCATGCTAAGATATGTTGAATTGCCTTGTATTTGCTACAGGCTAAGAGGAGACATATAGTTACCTTGGCTTATGTGATGCGCAGTAACTTGATTAATGAAACAACCTGATCATGGTTCTCAAAACACCAGCAATTTGGTGGTTTTGGTCAATGACCACCAAGGTATTCTGCTCTACAGATAATCTATTTGGCCAACAAACAATACGGAATTTCCTCTTCACATACCCATGTCTTTAATGGTTTCTCCTGGTAGCAAAGGTGGCTCTTCCATTTCAGCCAATTTATTAGTCTCCCTCAGGACCTATGCAAAAGACAGAGGTAGAAAATTAAATTAATTATGTTTTCATAAACCAAGAAGTTTACGCTTACCTGCAATGGGTCAACAATAGCAAGGACAACAAATATTCAAAGATCTTGAGGTACTGCCTAGTGTCTCAGGCTTTGAAAGGTCAACACAAAGCCCGTGAGAGACCTCGGAGCAGTCCTCAAGCCTACCACTGGGCTATACAGAAGTATTTAAAGCAAGGATGTCTGTGGGGAAAGCAGGCTGCGTGCTCGGGCAGCACACTTCCCAGGTAGCTGCTTTTCATGCTCCAACCTTCTCCTCCCCAGCTCATCATCACAAGTCAAACTCTCTCACGGTTACATATGGAACCAAAAGGATCAGTTCCTTTCCCAGTTGAAGTGATCAACTATTACGATGATGCTACCAAGTACAGCAATTTCTAGTTTACACTGAGGAAAGTTAAAAAGGAAACCTTGTGACACCGCTGTCCGACAACTGCAAAGATCCTGATTTGGCTCAGTAATAGTGACTTGTTACAAAGGTTAGATTTTGATAGGCATGTACAGGAGGTACAGTTTTGATTTTTTTTTTTGGCTGTCAAATGACCCCTCCTCCACTGTCCCTTGGGTTAAAATTATACCACAGGGCATTACTTTTCACAGATATGAGTGCATTTACACAAGGGTTTTCACAAGACCAGCTGCTATCACGACCAGATGGCCATTTTAAGAAAGCACAGCTCTACGAAAGCATAACCTGAGGTCTAAATCTATGACAAGAACACAGGGGCAATGACAGGACAAGGGGCAATGGGCACAAACTGGAACACAGGAAGTTCCATCTGAACATGCAGAAAAACTTCTTCACTCTGAGGGTGACCGAGCACTGGAACAGGCTGCCCAGAGAGGTTGTGCAGTCTCTTTCTCTGGAGATATTCAAAACCCGCCCAGATGCCATCCTGTGCAACCTGCTCTAAGTGATCATGCTCTAGCAGGGGGGTTGGACCAGATGATCTCTAGAGGTCCCTTCCAACCCCTACCAATCTGTGAAACTGTGAAACGCGCAGAGAAGAGCATACATAATTGACCAAGATGAAGGCTAAGTCTATGTGGCCAAACACAGACAGATTTAATATTGCTCATGCCTCGAACCAGCCAACTGATCACAACCACAGCAACACATCGGATGCTGAATCTAATAACACAGACAGAAAACAGGTAAGTTAGCCCAGACTCTGCCTCATGGTGCAGCAACCACAAGACTTTGGGTTTAAAGTTGCCATGCATCCCACCTGGTGGAGACAGGCAGAGAGAGCTCCTGTCTGCTCACAACTGAATGTGCAGACTTGCCCAAAATGCTTTCTTTATCTTAATGCAAGGAAAGAGAAAGAATTGTTTTCATTTGGTATCAGGAAATCCCTGCAGAGAAAATTCAAAGACATGGCCTAAAGTGGCACTCTAGAACCTGACATGTCTGTGGTAAATTTTCATGTAGGATCAAGCCAGAGAAAGAGCGAGCCTCAGGGAAGAAAAATTCTCTAAACTACACAAAAAAATTAAAAGAAAACCCAAAGAAACCCCATGCCACAATAAAAGCACGTTCCAGCATTTTCACACAACAGATTGATGTATAGATGAAAAGATTAACAAGATCAAAGCCTTCTTGAGAACAATTTGTACATTTTAAAAAATGCACTCAAAAGACTCTTAAAAAAATAAAATAATAAAAGCAAACACAGTCCTGGCTTCTTAACAGGAACCTCACAACTGCACCCGCTTAGGCCAGCTCTTACCAGGGAGGCTGACAGAGCAGCCAGACTGGGGTCTACAGGATGGGTAAAGGGAGGTCCATTGACAAAGCTCACACTGGCAGCACCGAACTTGCAGGAAAGCTTCTCCTCCCCCCACGCCAGCAATACCAGTAAAAACAAGGTCTTGCTGGTATAACTAGCACAAGTCTATGCTGAGGACTTCTTGTCAGCACAGCTGTACTGGCCAAAGATCACACATCCCATCAAAGCCCTGAGGGACGGCCTCCCGGACATAAGCCCGTGATGTAGGCCCACTCTCAACTCCTGTGTGTCAATTTTTGCACTTGAGTAACAGCTTTGAAATTATCAGGATAACACCTGAATTATGCCAAACGAGATGGACGCTTCTGGCTAATTAGTCCATAAGTGGTGGTCATCTTTGTTACCTTTTATCTTGGAAGGACATAAGTAAAAATATACTCTGTGTTCAGAATGCGATCACAACTTCTTCGAGAAGGTCCGTACCCCACACGGGCAGCAGCTGCTGCTAGGATCCCTTCAGTCAACAGCTGGACTCACTCCTCTCCTGCAGATGTCAGTGGGAGCACCTCCAGCAGTAAACATTTAGAGGACTGGGCTATATCTTAAGCCAAAACAAATATGAGGCTTCCAACACATTGGAAGCATTTGGTATGACAAAAAGCTGCCATGATCACTAGGTGGACAGGGCTCATGTGGGTTTTAAACACCATGCTGCAGGTGGGGGAGAGAAGGAGGGAAGAGGCAAGCAGTATGATAGACGAAGACCTCCATGTCAACACCATTCTGCTAAAGACAAGGTTGAAAGCTTTTTCGGTTTAAAACCTGGCTTTTCTAAGTCTTAATAAAATCCATCTGCTCACTCGCACTCTCTGAAATGCGGAGTCCCCAGGGTCAGAGGAAAGGATTAGCGATCCAAACCTGCACTCGCTTCAGCACAGGGCAGCGGACGGATGACCTCCTGGAAGCACAACACTTCAAGGTCAACAGCCTCTGCCCCATTGCCTCCCCCCCCCCCCCACTTTTTTTTTTTTTTTTTTTTTTTTTTTTTTATTTGAACTAAGAAACCCCCCATTGCCCCCCCCCCCCCCCTTTTTTTTTTCCTTTTTCTTTTTTTGGTATGGAGTTAAGGATGAAACTGTCATTTTCTCCATCCCCCAACTGACCTCAGCCACAGGACCTACCTCGGGTAATGCAGCTCCGACTGCCTTCATGATGAGTTTAAAGTCGGCGCAAGCACATCACCCCTGGCTAAGTCACCCTTCACAAGAGGCCGAGACAGACATGGCCAGAAAGCCCAGGACAAACACTTCTCTGGTGTGCTGGTCTTTGCAGCATCTGCCCAGCTCCAGACCTTGAATGAGTCTCCTAGTTGGAAAATGAACACTTGAAACCCGTCCTGGCAGAAACTCAGAAATGAACGGTAGGCATTTTCCTGAAATCCACCTCCATCAATGGCTCCTTAAAATTGATTCAGGGAAATGCAATCTGTGTGCAGCTGACAATGCAGGCAGCAGGCACAGGAGAAGACATTTAGGGCAGCACTGAAGGACAGTGGGTGGCAAGAGGGAGGAAAAGTGGGTGGATAAGGAAAGAGGAGTTTTGGAAACAGATCAGGGGAAGAATGGGATGGGACAATGCATGTGGAGCTCTGGGAGGAGGCTAACACCATAGATGGACCCTCTGCCCCTTATGTGACTAAGGAGATGACATGAAAAGAAAGCCCGTCCACTTTCCTGCCATCCTCCCCTCCCCCCCAAATAATAAAAAAAAAGGTTCATTAAACTATCAGAAAAGTCTTGTTTTGTACATTACCCTATTTTCAAAACTCTAAAAATAACACTCCTGGGCCCAGATTTAGCCCTCTGCAAATCCTGCAAAACAAAATTAAGAGCTCCAGTGCAGCAAGGAAGCAAGTAGGGGAGCCAGGGACATGACTGCGGCAGCCTGGCTGACTGCTGATGCATTAACGCTACTGAGGCAGGTATCATATACATCTGTAGCTGAAATGTTTCACCTCTGTGTGCCTCAGGTTTTTAGATTGTTCAGTAGGAACAAAAATGAATAGAGCTTTGAGATCTACAATGAAGGTTGCAGCCAGAGCTGGGCAGAATCAGCATTACTTAGGAATAGGACCAGGTTGACGTAGAGCCACACACTGGCTGTACCTGTCACAAAAATCACTATGGTGGTTTCTGTAAGAAACAAATACAACCACCAAAATTCGGTAGAGTACTTCTCCTTGCCTCTAAGCCAAACAAGATCTTCGTTATCTTTTCCCCACAAAAACATTATGCTTGGTTACTGAACCTCTGGGGGAATGAAGAGTTTAGTTCTACATCAGAATAACCTTTATTTCTGTCGTCTTTTCCCAAGTAACATAATTTACCCATTCCACCCATCAGCAGCTCTCCCTCTAGATAAAACAGCTCTCTGGGATGCAGAGCATAGGAGTACCTTAGCACCTAAACCCAAGTCCTGGCTCAGCTCTCAGAGAGGGTGTGACGACTTCATGCCACCACCTACCTTTGTTCTCTGCTCAAGCAGCGACTTGGCAGAACAAACCCACACTTGCTACATTTAACAACTGCTTCTCTAACTCCAGGATCCCACCTTGTGTTAGCTCCAGCCCACCTACCCGTGGCTGAAGGTGTAGAGCTCTCTCACACCCTCCCACCTAGAGCACCCAAGGCAGGAAAACCCCAATACAACTTCCAGATCTCAGCAACAAAGCAATCACCTCTTTTGCTTGCATGTCTAGGGTCAGGGAAAGAAAGGCCTGCTCCCTGCCTCATCCCTCACCTCTTCATACTGCGACTCAGGATACTGCAGTTCTGCCAAGCCTCTCCAATCACGTGTTCACACTGCCTCCCAACACAGCAGCCAGCACGCTGCTCCAAAAATCCCCCTCCTGACTGATGTCCCTGCACGACTCATGCACGCAGCTCATCCCGAGCGGCTACAGCCAGCTCAGGACAGCACAGAGATACGTTGTGCCATAACTCTAACTACAGGGTCTCAGAGGTCTGTGCATCGCTGAATGCTGCTCCAGAAGGACCCGAGAGGGTGCATGAAATTCTGTATTCAGTGTATGCTTTTGCCTGTGAAGAAAAGAACTGATATGTTTTCCTCTCGTATAGCCTGAGAGGTGTTTGCCTACCAGCGGAGCTGCACAGCCAGGATGACAACACAGGTCCTGCGCTGGCTGAGGCCGAGCCAGGATTGCTTCCTCCTACCCAATCCACCAGTGCTGTAATTGCTCCTGGATCTAGTTCAGTCACGATGCCTGGGTTCACTTAATGGCTTTTTTAATGGATGTTTTTCCATAAGCTGGATCATTTTGCCAGGACTGGCTTAGGGTGTGACTACACAAAAGGCGGCATGTAAAGCCAGGGTGAGGGAGGGAGAGCAGCCGGGACTGACTAGGGACAGTAACTGTGTCCCTGCACGCTGACATCTTCAGCACAAGCCTCCAGGTAACAAAGATGCATAAAGAGAGCAGAGCACCTGAGGTCCCTCCTAGCCATTTTCCAGTTATTCTCTTCCTTCTGAATATTTGACTCCTGAAAGCCACAGACAAAGGTCAGGTTTTTTGGCTTCATGTAACTTAAAGGGAGACTGACTACAGATTGCTGTTACCGAACTGCGGTGTTCTCAAGTCTGCATAGATTCTCCTACCCTGAATCACAATCAAGATGAACAAAAAGACTCATTTGGGTTTACACAAAATTAAAATGTACCCTTTTTGTGATTCCCCCCCTCTCTCCTTGGTAACCTCCTACACACTCTAAATCATTTTGCACATTTTGAACAGATTTTTTCATGCATACAGCTACAGCTCTGGTGCGACATATCTGACCCAACACTGTGACCACCTTGCTCCTGCATTATTCCTTTCCCCAAAAACACAACTTCCCCATCTATGGAAAAAACAAGCTCTCCAGGCTCGAAGCTGATTTGCTGCAGCTACACACAGTCCCGTTCTGTGTCTCCCACAGCAGGAAGCCAGTCTCTTAACTGGTCCCTTGACAGAAACATATATAACTTGTCTGTACAGACAAACATTATACACACACACACAAAATCTCTTTGCATCTGCAGCCCCTGAACTCACAGGTTTGGCATGTCTACCTCGTGAGCATGCACTGGTCAGCAGAACAGGCAGGATATACGCTGCAGGGAGAAGAATGTTCATGTTGTACGTGTGTGTGCAATCATATATAGACAGAATTAGTAGATTTTAAAAATATGTAGCTTTTCAAATTATGGATTTGAAATGCAACAGTCAAGGAAAGGTTTTATCTCCTACAGGAAACTATTTGTCTGATATTTCACATTTTAATGGACTACTGGGGAATATTCTGCTTGTAGTTAACATATCTAAACTTTCCTCTCCCCCTCACTTTTTTTTAAAAAACATCTTTCTCTCAAGGACTTGCACATGATTAAATGCCCTCCTGAATCAGCACTCTTGACACTCTGCAGGCAGGGTAGTCAGTAAACTGCAGGAATATCCATTTAATCTAAAACTGGATATCCACGTCGGAGCTAGTCACCCTAAGCACTCCGTTCTCTCAGTGGAAAGCAGGAGACCTAGGAGATTCACCTTTCGGATGAGTGCCTTCCTCTCCACCACGGGCTGAGAACTACAGTAACTCCAGTGCAGATCTCCAGTGCTTCACTGCAGCCAGGCCAGCGGTGCCCAGACTCTGGGACAACCTGATACAACTGAGTAGTCACAACCTGTACTTTGCAGAGAGGTCCAAATTTACTCTGTGCAGAGAGGCAGCAGGAGATGAGTCAGGACAGATCCAAAAATTGCATGAACTTCATTAAAACAGGCATGACACCAAAGCTTGCAGGACAGGTCTTATTAGCTGAGTTACCAGAGACAGTGTTTGGGTCAGAGCTGGCTCCTTTCTGCTGTCTCAGAGAACCACTTGAAGGAAGTCAGCCTTTCTGCAAAAGCTTAGCCACAGGATTGTTTTTACATACTTGATTTTTTTTCCAATTATTTTCTTTGTAAATCAAGAACAAAAAACATATACACTTACGTAACCAATGTTTTTCTCCTTTTAAATGCCTTTTGGTGATCTCAGACCATGTTCACCTATTCTTCCCCCTGAATTGTCCTCCCACTCCACCCTTTCCTCTTTCATGGCTGTTGTTGTACAAGTCAATCAACAAAAGACAGTGCCACTATGGCAGGGATATCACGATTTATCATTACCCCAATGAAGGTGTAAAAACCTCCGAAACAGAACAGATAGGTAAACTCTTTCCATTTAACTCAGGAAAAAAAAAGCATGGAGGTCTAATTCTGTCCAGCTGATGTTGACAGAAGCTGCAGAACTGACATAAATACGTGCAGAATCAAGACCCGTATGCTTATTTAGGATAATTTTTCATAGGTGCATGTTTTTATTCTAAATGAAACATTTCTTACAGCAGGAAAAAGGGCACATTTTTTTCTAGCATTTTGCTGCTTGGATGCTTCTGTCTTCTCGGTGCTTAATTAGAAGGACAGCAAAACAGTAGCCGTGCTCACTTGACAAATCCTCCTGTAGACTGTGAATGCTGTACTACTTTGGAGAGATTTTCAGCTGCCATTTATAGCTATTTCAAGTGTACTTTGAGAAGATTTATGCGCTACGTATCCTACTGCAAATGTAATAAAACAAAAATTGAGCAAGTAAATGGACTTTGGTGATTATTTTTGAATCATTAAGAATACCACAGCAGGATGACTACAGGAAAGAACAGCAGTATCTCTGCATGACTGAGGCATGGGGACTTTTCTTGAGGATTATGACCAGATGGGTTGAAAAACTATGTTAGAGACATTCAGACCAGCAAGATATTAATTGCAGGAAAATGCTTTGTGTCTTAATCTTTTGGAATATTAGAAGTTCAAAGGGGAAAAGACAAAACACCATGGACACATGGATCATTTCAGAATAGTACACAGAGAATCAAATATACCATCCAAAGACCACATCAAGCCCATTCAGCTCCTAAGAGAGCCCTTAGCCAAAGAAGGCTTCCTAGCTTGGTTAAAAAAAACACGAGGCATCTAAGTTATCGGTAAAATGTTCTGACAACAGACTATCTATTACACTACCCTAAAGACAATAATCACACACAATGTACACTGCAACTGCCTTCAGCTATGCTTTCCTAGTCTCAAAAAAACCACTGACACAAAAAACCCAAATCACAAACTGTGATCTCTACCTACTCTTGAGAAAGTATAAAAAGGCTTGAGAAATTACTTGCTTACTTACCGCTGTCTTGAAAATCTTTACAAAGAAGCTGAAGATTAGTGTATTTAAAAAAAAGTAATACAGTCACCAGGGTGATATAAAGGCACTCCTCTGGAGGAGGAAGTAGCCACCATGCAGCGTTTCCCTGGGGTCTTCTGCTTTGTTTTTTCCACGATATACTTCTCCACTCAGACCCAAGTGTCCAGTGATGAAGAACAGCCTCTCCAGGCTGCTGAATCTCCTGGGCCCTTGCTGCACAACTACAAGGCAAGGCTTAGAACCTCAAAGGAACACATTGTTGAGGGCCACTTGTTCAACCACGGCTGGCTTGTCTCTTCAAGTTTGTATGGCTTGGTGCCTCAAGACAGTTCTCTTATTAGGCTCCAAGAGAAAGTCGTCATTGACTCAACACAGCAACACTCCCTGGCACAGAAGGTTGCAGATATTATCTATTCAGACAAGTCCAACATTTTTTAATACAGAACCTTCTTCAGTGCCAAGGGTTCCACGTACATCTCAAACGACAACAGCTCTGTTCTCCACCGGCTGCTCAAAAACTTTGTACAGCACATTAGCCTGACTCTACCCTTTCTTTATTTTTACAGTATTTTGTTTAGCAAATAACTTACATGGGGAAATACATTAAAATTTTCAAGGAAAGCATTAAACTAGTTCAGGGAAGTTCATATCATCAATCTTAAGTAACAGAAAAACACTCTGACCAAAGATTTATAAATACTACCAACTAAAGTAACTCACAGAAAAATGTCTCTGTTACCAAGAATTTCACTTTGGAGTTCAGTGATATGTAAGATAAGGATTTGAGATACAAGTAATTACAATGAGTAAAAATTCCTACAGAGGGGAACAAAGATGCTTCATTCAGTGCAAAAACATCTATAGAATATCAAATTTTGGCAGGTACTGCATGCAGTCACAAATCCACATGCTCCTTTTAAATACCATGCTTGTTCATTCCTGCCTGATTTGTGTTTCAATCTACAAAACTATAACTTGGGGGGGGGAGAAAAGAGCCACCTCTTACCCAGTTTTACTCAGAAAAATAAGAATTCTTGCACTTTGCAGCTAGGAGAAATACGGCAGTCGGTTAGGAAGAGCTGAAAATATTTTTGAGGAACATCTGAAGGCCATTTGCTTATTCTCCTTAGTTTTCCACTCCTAATAGATGGCAATCATAAACGCTTCCAGAGATTTCCTTCACTGTGCATTACTTCATATTCAAACATCAGGTACCTCTATATAAGAAAAATTAGCAACGCTTGCTGTCTTTGCCTTCTTCGAACTAGATGAGCACTTAGGGAGTATTACTTCCATGTAAAGGAGACAGAAAACTGCATCTGGCTTTTCCCCCCATCTAATTTGCATGAAATCAATATTTGCAACCCAGAGGTTGGCTACTCTGTGTTTTTGTTTCCTGGAAAGGGGGAGGTGCAGAAGAGGACTTACTGGAGAGAGGTGCAGGGAGGGGACCAAGATTTTTCATCTCTCAGGACAGTTTAAAAAGAAAAAGATTGTAATTCTCATAAAATATATAGCATTTACAGTCCTGGAAATTGGAGTCCTAGAAAAACATGGCAATAGCAGGGGCTAAATTCCAGTCACTCATGGGGCTGTCCTGGAATGACCACGCTTATGGACAAGAGCATCATTCATTCTCCAGAAACAGTCCTTTGTGCCTTTGTTCATTGACAGCCTAATGCTCCGAAGAAAGGAAAACGGTTTCCCACAGACACACACACGCAACTCGTATGGCCAAAATCAGAATTTTGAGATAGTTAAAATATTTTTCCCCATAAGATTTTCCTACTTGTTCTCTGCTGTTCTAAGTCTCTCTACTTGATACCTTTGATAACGTCAAGCATCACCCATTCTTAGATTTGGCCTTGATTTCAGCCCTGTGCGCAAAGGGACCTGTGGAAACACTACACACAGACCAGGTATGGACTACTACTGCCTGCATAGCTTCTGCTGCTGTATACCCACAAAAATATGAGGTGCACCTCCATGTGAGAATATGTCTGAGCCTAAAGTCATGACACAGAGAAACACATAGGGTCAAGTCTTCACACAGTGACAGTAAAAAGATGAACTGTTTATTTAATTTCACTGCTGTATCACCAGTTCACATTTAGCCAAGTCTTTTGTGACCACAGGTCAATTATCTTCACCATCTGTTGGCTTGTGCAATATTGTCTGTAATTTAATAGCAGCCACAGTCCAGTGCACTGGGAAGGAAAGCTCACCTCACAGAAGACATCTTTGCATTTGCTATGAACTAGTCTTACGGGTAGTCCCATGTGAAGAGTCAAGGACCAGTCAGAAACAGGGCAGTCCCTTATCTCTATACATTGCTAAGCGAGGATGGAGCTGACTGGCAGGGCACAGTCTTCAACTATCTTGGAGGTGCTCAGGTAGAGGTTTTTTCGTGATTTAGTGCTTCCAAAATAGCATCACTCACTAACCGAAAAGTCCCTTAAAAGCAACAGTAAAAAACATTGTTTAAATGAGCGCTTAAAGTTTAAAATGTTATGCCGCTCTCTAAACCCAGCTCTTGTTGAACATGTGTTACACATAACCAAAGCCTGACACACTTCCTGCGTTGGCAGAGAGATAGCAATGGAACAGCTCAGTGAGGCTAGTTTTAGTGATTTACAGCAAAGGATGGGGGGGAAAAAAATCACATATTTCTTTAATATGTTTTTCTGCTATCAATATACAAGTTCTACATAAAACCAGCCTAAGCCACTTTGCACTAAAGCTAGAATAAAGTAACACAAAGGTGGCAAAGTCAGTGACTGGCATTTCAGTTAATCCTGCCCAACACCACCTGAGGGACAGGATTTACCTTAATTTTAGAGGTCTACATCTGGAGAAATTACCCTGAACTCTCTTCACAGAGGAGAAACACAGCAGGTTTTCAAATGAGACAAAATTACACCTTTACTGGGGCACAGCTAAAGCTGGGATCCACTCTGAGAAATTAGTTGCTGCACCTCAAATAATGTTCCCAACGTCCCGCAGCAAGGATTTTTCTAGCTCAGCTACATGACATTCTCACCTAGCATGGGCATTTCCTTAAAGCAGAGATAAATCAGATTATAAATGACCTATTTCTTTCCATTGACTACAAAGGAATTGTGGTTGGCCAGCCTGAATGCAGACTTGCTTAAACAGATTTCACCCAGAACACCTAAGGAGACATCCATTTGTCGTCTTTGAAGGAGAAGCCTCCTTTATATACCTTTTGTCATGCATCAGTTGTGTGTCTTACAAAATAAACCACGTGGGCTGGTCTACAGTCTCCAACCATATACACAATGGATAACAAATTAAAGTTACACAAGCAACTCTGTTGCTTCCCTTTTCTAACCTTTGAGTCCTGAGCATGCTATGATAATGCTCTTGCATCTCATATATAAACCCATTGCAAATCCACTGATTCCTTGTATATTATAGGAGAAAATTATTATGAAGGTAGCAAACAATCACGGAGGATGGGACACATGTTTGTACAACATTTTGCTGGACCTCAGAGGAATATCAGGAATTGTGGATCTTACTGTTGCCCTCAAAGGGGAGAAAGTGGTCACAAACAGCAACGTCAAGAACAAAGATTTGAATCACTTTTCCTGAAGGCTACACAACTAAACAGGTGATGTATGGGTGTGCTGTACTGGTTTCCTGTGTCCACAGAATGGACTAAAAGCAAGATGCAACATAAGAAAGCCAACGTATGAGTTTTCATCCTCTGGTTCAGGTTTTTGCTGTATACAATCTAAAACCAAACACAATGGACCTTAACAAATTTTTAGGCAAAGATACTGTCCTTAAGGGAAGTGGCAGCAGGCTCTGCTGGCCATACCCACTGCCTCCCAACTGCAGATGGAAGGCATCCAACCCTTTTATGACAGCTACTCCAAAACTTTGAATGTGGTAAACTTCAGACATTACCCTACAAATCAACAGCTAACTCAAAATGAAAGTCCCCACTGATAAAAGCATTAGCAAGAAAATCTAAAGAGAAGAACTATAAACTGCACAGACATATCTGCCCATAGGCATGGGAAAAAATACCACCTATAGGACTTAGGAGCAAGTCTCTCACTGTACTTTAATACTGACCGAGTTCCCAGATCTGTGAGAGATATTTGTGCACCTCAATCCCAAAGGTAATGTTGGCTCTAAGGTGGTTTTAAAACCTCATCCCAAATTACAAAGGATCTATGAATTTCCAGCTCATTTTCACTTCCAGCTACTTCTATTCAATTCTGTTCTTGACTGATCTATAACTTATGTTAAAACATATGGCAGTGTATTTGCTAAAAATTCCCTCAAAAAGTGCATTCCCTAAATCAATTCTAAACAGCTTCAGATTTGAGATCAGGAAGGGGGTGAAGGGGAGAACCTAATTGTGCTTTGTTGTTTTTCTGTTTGAGTTTGGGGGATTTTTCTTCTTTTTTTTTCCTATGAAACTAACTGAAGCAGCCAAAAGTTATTTAGAGTTAGTTTATGAAGTGAAAATTCTATAAATTGTAGTGGAAAGGCAATTTAATCTTAGTTCCAGATATTAAAATGCTGAATAGACATTAAAAAACCCTCTTCATAAAGGTTATTATTAAATACTTTGGAGAAAGATTTAGGAAAAATACTGCACGTGCATTCAGTAGGAATCCCCAGTGGTTATCTCATTTACCTCATTAGACACATGCGTGTGCACACACACAGAGTGTTAATTGCGCTCCAAAAGAAAACTGCAGGCACAGACTGTAAGAAATTATGTGGGTCCTTCCCCTGGTTCCCTCCTCCCGATGGACGCCTACTATTCTTCTAAAAATTCCCCACAGAAAAAGAGAGTGCTAATTGTAGCTATCACAAAGTGTTTTTCCATCGTCACAGAAATTTAATTCTAAATTTGATTCAATGCACACACAGAGGCAGAGACCAAGTAGAGGTAGGAGTGATGATGGATCCACATCGCAATTCATTCTAGCAAGGAAAATTTAAATACACATCAAGAGCATAATCCCATAATTGGCAGATCCACTTCACAATCTTGAAAAGCTTATTTTCAGCCTCTTAAAGCTAACTGATGCAACACCTGCCTGTGAGAACATCATGTAGCCCAGGCACTTGTCTCCCATACCACAGAGTTACCACAAAATGCATTAGTTCCCACTTCAGAGCTTATTCTCTTACATTTTTCCAGGAACAATGTCCTTTTTGTCCTCAGAAGAAATAAGGTGCTTAGCTCAGATCTCAGTACCTGTTAAGACTTAGAAGTTTGTGCTGTCTTGTGCCAATCACAGCTGCACAAGACACTCAGGCATCTAAGAAAAGGGCTAGAACAGAAAACACTCTCATGCTACTGTATCAGTTAATGGTATGACCTCATCTTCAGTATCAAAGGCAAGGCCACATCTCAGGAAGATCAAAGAAAATAGTAAGAACAATCAGGACCTTGCAAAATCTCTCACAGAACTGACTTTAAAAAAAACTTGGAGAACTGTCACATGAGAGAGATGTTAATTCAGAGAATATTTGACAGAGACTGATAAATCCAGAGAGGGGACATCTGAAAGAAATTGGTGTTAGCTGAAACATAAAAACATAAAAAAATCTTTCATTTAGGAGCTAATTCTAGGCTCCACGAGCAAGCCCAGGGAACAAACAGGAACGCGCTAGCCCTGACAGTGATTGATTTGAGTTCCAGTTGTGGGACTGCAGTTGCATGGGCAATACCAGCACAAGAGGCCGTCCACAGGTAGAGGAGAGATCTCCATCCCACCTCCCAGGCTTGTTCTCCAGCATCACTCTCAGGAATGAAGAGAGAAACGGTTAATGCATTAATTCCTCTAAGAGAGCTGAAGTCAACCTGTACTAGTGGAAACTGCCCCATCCTCCCTATACCATGGAAACGCATTTTCTCCAGGCCTGGTTACCATTGACAAGCAGTCACTCAAGCGTAAAGGCAAGAACCAGCTTTATGCCTAGACATAACTGCATCGCAGCACCTCACACCACCTCCTGCAAGAGCGAGCTTTACATGAGCACGGCAGGCTTACGCTGAATTCAGGCCCCACACAGCTGATGCAGGTTAAGAGCACGAAGCATTTTGCCTGCAGAGGCACATGCTCACACTTGGCCTGCAGTGACTTTATTCTGAATAAGTATTTCTCTGCTTTATCATCTCTCCTTAAACACTATTCGAAAATGAAAGGGGAGCGGCATTTGTTCCAGCAGAACTTTAGTTTGCTTAGAAATACAAAAAAAAAAAGAGGAGGAGGGCAGGCTGTGTAGAAATCACTCTGCAAATTACAGGAACT